TTTTAGTGTCGGTCAAAATTTCTGGAAAACCCCCGAAATCTGGATTAGCCCGCTTGTCCTTAAAAGCGACCATCTAGACTTAGATCTAGATTATTATTTCTTGTGGCCAGTCAAACACAAGGAGCTGATACATGTATTGAAAGTAAACATTTACAATAATATGAAAAAAAAGTATTAGGTGTATTTTTGGTCTTACCAAACTGGACTTTTCTAGTCGTTCCCTTATTGTGGAGATAAAATTTAAATTGTTAAAGTGGCCAAAATGTTGATCTTGAGTTCCTTATTGTAGTCATGTATCCCTGCCTTAGTAAACTCAGCTTGCCTCAGTAATCCTCCCCGCCCCCCCCGTCCTCCCCCTCCTCTCTTGGTTGCATAAATCTAGAATCTAGACCTAATTGTTTTGCCTCTCAAGATTTATGGTTGAATTCCAGTACTAGAGTGTAAACATAGTAGGCCAATGACTTTCAGCTGATGTTAATGCACCGATCATTCCTTTCATCGAAAGGGGCCCCAGCTAGCCATAGAATATGTCTAACTCTGACGTTTTCCACATGTTTGAATCTCTCCCATGTACGTTCACTGAAATCTGTCTGTTCGTCCTTTTAGCATGATGATGATAATATTATGGCCGTGTGCAGTTGCGAGCTCCGACAAACTCTTGCTAAAACACGACTGATCCTAGATTTGTTGCGGTGAAACCTATTGGAACTTAAATGACCAAAATTGAGTAGATAGTGCCGTAAAACACCTACTCAATCAATCACTGAAATCTGCGGCAGCGATTGCCGATTAGGTGCTTCCTTGTCACAAGCAGAAGTCTCGATTCTGATTCCTGACAGGGAAGAATGTTTATCAAGTACCTCGAACTTTCTGCTGGGATGTTGTATCCCTAATTGAGTCGATAGTGCCGTAAAACATCTACTCAATCAATCAATCATGTTGTATCCGTCTCAGCCCAGGCTGGCCCGGGTATAAATTGTATCGACAGGGGTTTTTGAAACATCTGTATCTAAAAATAAAGAAAATGTAGACTACTTTCAGCACTAGCTATCTAATTGCAGTTTTTTTTAATCTTGCTGATCGGGGAGTGACAAGCTATTTCTTGCCTGCAGTTGCTGTGAGAAAAATGCTGAGCTCGATGAGACGTCAAGCTTGTGTGTGTTTCTGAGGGACACAGTTTCTGGGTCGAAATCTATCACCTGATTTTTTAAAAGGCACATCTTCAAATCATGATCCTTGCCATGTTTTTGTGGTTAAACAGTAGGCCTATTTATAGTTCAACTATTCTATTAGGCCTATTTATAGTTCAACTAGTCAATTAGGCCTATTTATAGTTCAACTATTCAGTTTAGATTGACTTACGGAACAGCGAGAAACTAAGAGTGGGAAACATAAATTTGACCCCCCCCCCCCCTTTTTCTGCCAATCCCCTCCCATCAGGATTCCAACACATACGCACAAATTGTTAAGCTGTTAAAAAAAGTTCGATTCAACCAAGCTTTCTCAAAGAGCTAATTAAACGGTGCATCTTTGAACAGGAACTAGAACCAAAGCCTACAAACATCTTTGTTCACATAAAAAAAACTACCATTTATTTTGCACGTGCATACGTATACTTACTAAGCTCCCAGTGACTGGTGGCCTTGTGGGTAGGTTACCGTACTCGTAATCGTGAGATTGCGGCCTCGGGGTTCGAGCCTCAGCTCGGTCCGACGTTGTGTCCTTGGGAAAGACACTTTACACGAACTTCCCACTTGGTTCAGTCCTATCGGAGACTGACGTTAAACAAGGTCCCGCCCCTGGAATAACCTAATAGTGTTGATAGGGGCGTTAAAGTCATACCATTTGATACCCAAGTGACTGATGAGCATGTGCATGCTTAAAGCTAGTAGATAAAGGGGAAAGTCCGTTACATACTGTCATATAAGTGAAAGGGGTGATGTATAGGTGCGGAGAGAGAGATAGAGAGACAGACAGAGAGAGAGAGAGAGAGAGAGAGAGAGAGTGAGAGACAGAGAGTGGGAGACAGAGAGTGAGAGACAGAGAGTGAAAGACAGAGAGTGTGAGAGTGAGAGACAGAGAGTGTGAGAGTGAGAGACAGAGAGTGAGAGAGTGAGAGTGAGAGCAAGAGAGGGAGGGGGGGGGGGAGGGATGTAATACATAGAAGTTTTAAGAATGAATCCATACACATTCATCCAAACAAAAAAGTCTGTAACATCCTTCTGCTTTAGAACTACCAGATTTGTGTTGATGGGGGGCTAAAAACATTTG